AAACGTTTTCGTTCTCGTGTAAACGATGAGAACAATGAAGACAATTGGTCATAAAAAAATCATTCCGCGTGGGACTATATTTTGCGGGAAATACCCAACCCTTTCGACCACCACGTGTCAACTCCTGGTAATGTGTTACTTCTCGCCCTTGCGCCAAGCCAGCACGTGCTAACTCCAGCCTGATCGCCCGTTTTCCGTGTAAATGGTTCCAAATGATTTTGCCGTTCTGGTGTAAACGATTAGAAAACGATTCGAGGCCAGTCCGTTTTGTTCCGTTTTGTTCCGTTTCGTTTCGTTTGGTTGCGTTTCGTCTCCGTGTAAACGCAAAAGATATGGACATGACTAGATTTGGTTTTCCTTTTGTATTCAGTGTGATTTCGTTGCTTACATGTAAATTGGGCACAATGAGTCTTGGGCGAGTGGCTCAGATCCCAGAGCAGCCCAGGAACTGACAATTTTTCAATCTTTCCACCTTTTCTTTCGAAATTGAATACGCCTCCAATTTTTTCGTTGCAATAATAATAATACGAGCTCCAAAAGCGAGGGCGACCTAGAAAACAACCAGTAACCACACAGCCGTTGCCTACACAACCCGAGGATCCTGGCTCACATACTGTGCTTGCTCCGCCGTCGTTGGTGGCAGTGGTGGAGGAGAATGGGCGTGGTGGCTCATCGGGTCGGCTTGTGTCGCCGCCTTTGCTCCGGCCGTCGGTGGTTCTCTCGTCAGTGCCCCCGGCTGCTTTGGCTGAGGCGGTGCCGCTTGCGATCCCGGTCCCACTGCCTCCTCCTGATCCTCCGCCATCGGTTCTTGCGGCGGTGGAGCTTGCCAGTGGCAGACCGCGAGCAACACTGACAGCTGCATTAACACTACAAATGCCGACTCAAAAAGACCCACCTTGCATATCAGTAACTCCCACACCAACACCAACAACGCAATCTACAGCAACCACAACTAATCCACCATCCAAGCCCATAATTGAAAGACCAAGACGATCAACAGCCAACTACAACAGAAGCTACGCACTCAGCGGACGAGGGCGAAAGGAGGGACGTGATAGCAGGGGGACGGCCGAGTTGAGTTCAATGGACCCGGTCAGGCGGGATGGACGAGACAGAGAGAGGAAGCGGGGGATGGAACGGACGGCGGAGGGAGCAGTGAGTCGGAGAGCAGTGATGGGAGTGATGGTGAGAGTGCCGGTGAGAGTGTTAGTGTTGTGCGTAGTTTTCGTGGTAGCAAGTCTTCAGTGTACAATCATCTGCTGGCTAGTCCTGATTGTTGCGGTGCGTATTCCGACTCTTCGTTCACTGTATTGTGCCGTGGTCGTCATGGTTTTGGACTACAGTTAAAAGTGTTGGAAGCTATCTATCAACGTCTGTACAAGCCTAATTTGTGTGTACAGAAAGATAGTATAATTGGGTTGAAATTGTTCAAGTAACGTCGTGTTTAGTGCGGCCAAGCTTGGCCGTTAATGTTCTAGGTGTAATGTACTGCTGTTATGTGTTATCACGTTGTCTTTCCTTCCTTTCTCCTTTGTTCAGTTCTCGCTTTGATTGTTAAAATTCACAATTGTAAATTTTTACTGTTGTTGCTCCTAGTGTTATTTCTCTAACTTAGATTTTCGATAATAGTTCAATAATAATAATAATAATAATAATCTTCACTAGTTTGAGGGAAAGAGACAAACGGGAAAAGTCTGAAGAAAAAATAGACTGTCACCACCAGGATTCGAACCAGGGACCCTCGCTTGTAGCTAGCGATGCTCTAACCACTGAGCTATGGTGTAGTCGTCATCCCAGCAGAGACTGTTCAACATTTTCTTCAGACTTCGTAACTCACACTTCCTGTGAATCCACACAGGCGGGCGGGACGCAGCCCTCCCAGTACCCACACACTTCACGTACACTCTAGCACGCGGGGAGCCCCAAGTCATAACATCTTCACTAGTTTGAGGGAAATAGACAAACGGGAAAAGTCTGAAGAAAAAATTGACTGTCGCCACAAGGACTCGAACCAGGGACCCTCGCTTGTAGCTAGCGATGCTCTAACCACTGAGCTATGGTGTACTCGTCATCCCAGCAGAGACTGTTCAACATTTTCTTCAGACTTCGTAACTCACACTTCCTATGAATCCACACAGGCGGGTGGGACGCAGCCCTCACTGTACCCACACACTTCACGTACACTCTAGCACGCGGGGAGCCCCAAGTCATAACAACCTCACTAGTTTGAGGGAAAGAGACAAACGGGAAAAGTGTGAAGAAAAAATTGACTGTCACCGCCAGGACTCGAACCAGGGACCCTCGCTTGTAGCTAGCGATGCTCTAACCACTGAGCTATGGTGTAGTCGCCATCCCAGCGGAGACTGTTCAACATTTTCTTCAGACTTCGTAACTCACACTTCCTGTGAATTCACACAGGCGGGTGGGAAACAGCCCTCACTGTACCCACACACTTCACGTACACTCTAGCACGCGGGGAGCCCCAAGTCATAACATCTTCACTAGTTTGAGGGAAAGAGACAAACGGATAATAATAATAATAATAATGACAGTTCGTATATCACTCATTGCATGAGGTCAACGCATCTGTTGACAATTTTGAGCCAAGCAGCTCTATCAGAAGCAGATTGCACAGCATCCAGAAGCGAGAGATTAATGCATGTTAAGTCTTTCTTGATGAAGTCGATCCATCAGAAATCGAATTTCCACGTAATATACCAAGTTAAGCACGAGATGAAATTCTCAGCTATGAAGGACTATGGCGGATGTTCATGCAGGTCGATAACGATACTGGCAAGGCAATTGGATAATACTGTTGAGTTCGAAACAGGACGACTGACGACATATCCAGACATTACAACGGGAACAGGTTAGTGGGAACGACATTTATTATACTAGTAGACGACGAGACAAGAGACCAAGACGAACGAGACGACTACATTGAAGAGTGAGAAAGGAGAGAAAGAGATCAAGTCTAAACGGCAAGATAAAGGGCCTGGGTAGCTATGGCAAATATGGGCGCGCAAGTAGCTACCCAGGCCAACGGAGCAAAAGGAGACAAAAGGTGCGTACGCAAGTGCATGCAGGCCAGCTAGAAAATGTACGGGAGGTAGTACCTAACATACCACCCCTCCATGAAAAAATCCCGCGTCCTCGCGGAGAGAAAAAAAAGAGAGAAAAAGATTTAAAAAAACGACTGAAGGAGAAAAAAACACACACACACACACACAACGCACGGGCCTCACAAAAGTGTGTACTAAAAAAATGCACTACAGATCATTACAACCGTCAACGTTCCTGTACTACTCATACTATAGTGTGTACATTGCCAATAACAACGGGCCCAAACGCCCCTTCAAAACATGGCACAAAAAATAACTATTGGAGTTCGACGAGGGACTTGAATTGTATTCTGATGACTAGTATTTTGCACGGCTAATAGAGCCTAGTTACACTTTAATATACGACATAAATAAGAGAGCGTGGCTCACCTCGGACCCCTAATATTAATGAAGGACACCCGCGCGCACACACACTAACAAAAAATTCACGAAAATAAATTATTTGACGAAGAAGGAACGCATACAAAAAAAAGAAAGAGAGAAAGGTAGCTGACCTGCATGGCTTGAACGACACGAGGTTGATATAGACGAGACGAGGTTGGCGTAGGAGAGACGAGGTTGATAGAGACGAGACGAGGTTGGCGTAGGAGAGACGAGACTGACATGGACGAGACGAGGTTGACAAAGACGAGACGAATGGTGGTTGAGGACGGCTGGGCATGGGATGATCTCAGGGTCGTGGGTCGATCAATAATTGGGCGCCAATGTTGAGTTCGAAACAGGACGACTGACGACATATCCAGACATTACAACGGGAACAGGTTAGTGGGAAAGACATTTATTATACTAGTAGACGACGAGACAAGAGACCAAGACGAACGAGACGACTACATTGAAGAGTGAGAAAGGAGAGAAAGAGATCAAGTCTAAACGGCAAGATAAAGGGCCTGGGTAGCTATGGCAAATATGGGCGCGCAAGTAGCTACCCAGGCCAACGGAGCAAAAGGAGACAAAAGGTGCGTACGCAAGTGCATGCAGGCCAGCTAGAAATGTACGGGAGGTGGTACCTAACAATACGGTCAAGCCACGATTCAAAGACGCAAAGCAACATTCCACACAACTTGCTTGGCTCGAAAGATGCAAAGATCAGGAAAAAGGAAAGTTATGCGAACAAGAATCATGCAAAACCGAACGCAGCAGTAAAACAGCACTGCACTTCGACTATGATACTGTAACGTTGGAGGGAAAATAAGCAGAGGTAACAAACAGCAGTTTCACACGACAATCGTTTCGCCATATAGATCAGTCACCTTCCCTTCCTTATCAAGAGGAGGTTGGTGCGACTTGGGCGAAAGTAGTGTAAGAGTGTGTTGCTCCCTACATGTGATTGTTGTCCCCAGCGCGAGCTTGCGCCTTAGATGGTTTGGAGGCAACACCATTGTGAATGGCCAACGGTGCTCAGCGCTTGCTCAGCACCTCCATGAGCGACACTGACTCATGCTGCTATCTGGTGTTCACGAGGTGTTTGTCGCGCTGGAAACACAGCGTCTCTGTAAGTTTGGATCCCTAATGATGTTTGTGCCTGGAGAGCACTATATAAATGGTGCTCTTCAGACACAATCTTCCTCAGCTTACGCAAGGGCAACTGATGAGCGTTGAACTCCCCGAAACACTGTGTATTCAGCAGGGAGTGGTGCTTTCTTGCAGGTTTGCCGAGTGGACGGTTCGATGGACTTCTCGTGTGCTCTGGATGTCAGTCGTGAGTCAGTCAAGTGAGAATTGAAGTCGGCAGGAAAACCGCGAGCTCCCATGTAGGGGCAACACACTCTTCCCGTCCTTATGTTATTATTATTATTATTATCCATAACTTAAAATGAAATATGTTGTCATAACATCCAATGTAATTTCAGATGTTTTGAATTGATTCCCTCTGTGCAGTAAAATGGAATGCGTGTGCTCAAACCAGCACCAGCACTTGGCAAGTCGATTGGACTTTTCGATATGACGGAAAAACCTGGAAGGATGCCAACATATCCTGTCGGTCTTTTGGCGGATCACTGGCTACTGTTCATACAATGGCTCAGCTGACATGTGCTAACTCGACAGCAAAGGGAACATCCGCCACGTGGGTGGGCCTGACTGGTACATGGAGCGCCGGAAATTGGACTGCTTGGAAATGGGAAGCTGCATTGTCGCCCGTCACGGCACAACTTCCATGGGCATCACATTTTCCAACGATTCAGGATGATTACATATACGGATATTATCAGCCAGAAATTTTCAGATTACGGACGTGGGACAAAAACCATTCACTTCGTCACCTTTGTCAACGTTATGTGCCTAAAGGTAGGTAGGTGTATGGCCTTTGAATGGACGGACATTGTATTCACATATCTTTTTAAATCAATACAGTCCGTTCTGTTGTACATGTTATTTTCGGCCATGAGTCATCAGTATTAAGGGTAAAACAGGTGGACCTAAACCATGCAACCCAAATTGGAATGAAATATTTTATGGAATGAAGTCGGCTCCAGTGGAGCTTGGAAACATTAACCCTTTCCATGCCATTGACGCGTTTTTCAGTATGAGCCGATTGGCCATGGCCGCGTTCTGCCTACAATGTCCAGTACATGTGTATCGCTGGCAATAGACCAGTGTATAAACTGTCGTATCTCTATTTAAATATCTCGGTTTGCTAGGGTTAAAACCCTACTAGAGAGGTCTTGCGCTTAGCTCTCAAGGGATATACAGTTATGTGCGATACGACATGGTATGATCGAGCGGCGACAAATTGAACGGTCAAAATGCGCAGATTTCAACTTTTGGCAATCGAGTCAATTTTGGCGATTTCGTGCGGGTTTTAAGGATTTCCCTCAGAGACGCTACAAACGCCCACTTCGCAGCAAACGCCCACCCTAGCGGAACCATACTGTTTTCGTCTTTTTCAAGTCAATATAGTTATATAAAACTGGCATGAAGGTCGAATGCGTACGAAAACGGCTGTAATGCCTATGTAATGGGTAGCCGAGTGGTAGGCGCGGTGAAATCAACAAGAATTACTTTTATTCTACTTCTTTCAGGTACACACCTGGTTATATAATTATTAGTGAAAGAAGAAACGGCAAAATAACTGCATTTCTCTCCGGTGCACACCTGGAGGTTGAATAGCTCGTTATTAGGCCAAAACAAATAATGACCTTCGTGCGAGTCCTGGTGGCGACAGTCAATTTTTTCTTCAGACTTTTCCCGTTTGTCTCTTTCCCTCAAAATCTCATATTCATCAAAACAGAAATGCGCAGCCGCTTTTATGCAGCAGACACCGTACGCTTACATACGGAGATACACTAAATATACATCAGGCAAAGCTCCGTATTAGTTCCGTACTGCTTCCGTATTGGTCGGGCAGGGATACTACACCCTCCCTTCCTACAGATAATCACGCCCTCGTGATTTTCAAAAATTAGTGAAGAGTTATGAACACAGCGTCAACCGGAAGATGGCAAATTATATCGGAAATGATAACGTTTAGAGTAGACAGAAGAAATGAACTGATAACAAATCATAAAGTAGAAGCACACCAGGTTCACACGATCTCACGGGGTCAAAAGGGGAAAGAACTGTCCTCCAAATAGGACCTGAAAAACCACAGCACTCTTGCTGCACTACGCTGGCACAACCCGCCAGGAACATCGCAGTTCAAAAACCGAACTGAATACACTATAACTATAAGGGGCGTTGTCACACACATTGTCCCACGTTAGCTGGGTAAACCGTGGCTCACCATGATCAGACGCCTACCAAACTACACTGGATTCACACACTCGCATAAAGGAAGACTGAAAAGAACAGGGAGACTGAAGGAAGAGAGGAAAGAAAATGCCATACCTAGAATCAGCGTTAGTAACCACGGCGGCGGCTGAAGCTACGGCCGAGGGCAAGCCAGGTTTTATCTTCATCTTGGTTGAGCCGGTCACTCAGAGCGGCTAGCTCAGCGTCAGACAAATGACCTCCCTCCTCGTCTTGAATCGTGGTATTCACATTGTCGATAGCATTGCTTTGCGCGACGTAAAGAGTGATGGTATAGCCAGGAAGAGTGTTGACGAAAATCTGCATCCCACCACGGAGGCGAAGTACCAAATGAAGAGTGGGCTCCTGCTTCTGACTGCGTGCCGGCGAAAATCAAACGCTGCTGGTCTTGGGGAATACCCTCCTTGTCTTGGGTACCAGCCTGCCTGTTGTCGTCCTCATCAGCTTCGCCATCACCACCGGTAGTATACATCTAGGTAGCGGGTCGCTTGGAATCGCCATCGGAGTCTCCAGTGTGTCCCGTGCGGAGAGAAGGGTGATCCACGCTAGCACCCTGACTGAGCTGCAGGCTAATAAGCAGTGCCAGGCCGAGGAAGGCAAGAAACATGATTCTCGTCTTGATTCGTCGCACGGAGCTGTAGCGGGTTGAGCCATCGGAGCCTGGGGTCGAATCACGTTGTTTTATTTAAAACTACACCGCTGACACCAATGTAATGGGTAGCCGAGTGGTAGGCGCGGTGAAATCAACAAGAATTACTTTTAATCTACTTCTTTCAGGTACACACCTGGTTATATATTATTATTAGTGAAAGAAGAAACGGCAAAACGAGAGAGTTTGGAGACTCAGGGCCCTACTCTATGCTTTGTTACTTAGCTCATCGTGCATGTTGTGGGAACTGATGGAAATGTTTCCTGGGAAGGCGCTGACTCTGCCGAGCACGCGCGTTCTGGAGTCGACGGGATCACTCTGGCGACGTTTCCTGTGACCGGCGCTGACTCGCCCGTTCACGCCTATTTTGGAGACGACGGGATCTCTCTTCCAAAGTATGTTTTTGCTGACGCATCCTATCACCTATTCGGCAACTAACATCCATTCTAATTTCATTTCCTTCTCGTCTCCCTATTTCTTTCCAGAAAGTCTCTCTATACATCAGGGAGTCGTACTGTATTGGCAGCTACCCTAACGGGTCACGCCGCCCAACACCCAAGCATGGGTATGATGAGGGACAGTGGCAACAGAAAGCAAGAGAAAGACGGCGATAGTAGTACATCTGGTGTGCGACGTATAGAAAAGAGAGATGACAAGAGATGCGCACAAAATAGGAAACAATAATTATTTTTGCAGTTCCGAAACAATCAACCAGGTGATGGAGTGTGGGCACCCGAAGTCCCCCCTGGACTCCACTGGAAGAACATCCCACGCAGGGATATCAGCGATAGGCCAAGCGTTGAAAAACAGCCATGAGGACACATCGTCTAGAAGTCCACCGCGCTCGAACTGAAATTGCAGGTTCAAACAATTTCCCAAGCGGCGTCAGGCAGCGTAACTCTTCTCCCTGCATCACCATCCATCTCCAGCAACCGTCTCCACTCACAGCTAATGCCTCTGCCACCACTGTACTCCTCCGAGCTTCGCAGTTTGAAACCATTCGGGGGTCAGCTACACCACCGCGAATGGAGAGACGAGGACGACAACGATCGTGACTGAAAAGGCACTGCCTTGGCGACCGCGTCGCGGAACCCTCGCCCCAGCAAATGCAGAAATACGCCAGGGGCAACTCTGGTCGACCCAGAGCCACCCCCTTGGCAAGACTAGTAAGAGGAACGACTGAAAACTCAGATAAAACAGAGCTACAAAAAGTGCAACCGTCCCCTTCAAGCACAGTTGCAACACACAGGGAGTCATAATATTGTGGCCAGCTGTTTGTAGCCAGCTGTGTTTGATGGTACGGTACGGTACGGGACAGATACGGGAGCCAGCAAATGGCCAGCTGTGCGATACGGTACGGGACAGATACGGGATAGCGCCAGGCGTGACACAAACAAACAAACAAACAAACACCAAACGAGAGAGCTTGGAAGCTCATAGCCCTGCGCTATGCTTTGTTGCCTAGCTCATCGTGCATGTTGTTAGAACTGATGGAAATGCTTTTTCCTTTGATTAGCTACATCATTGAACGTTTCAATGAGATACTAGGGAGGTTTAGTTCCCACGTAACGGAAACGCGTACGTGGGTGATCCACGTAAAGTGGATGAAGGGCACCCACGTTGCAATGTTGTGTTTAGTCACACGGAACAAACAAAAGCATAAAGCTAAAGGCCAAAACCTGGTCAAAGACGAAGCTACCCCGGCCTTAGAAGCTCATCTAATATTTTGATTTCGTGCTTCGGAAACTTCTTCAGCTGAGCACCCTCACAGCTCGCACAATGCGCTCCATTCTGATTTTCACCCACGTTCTGGCGGAACGTGGGTGAGCCTCCATACACGGTATGTCGTGAATCAGAAAACGTCTGTACGTGGGTCATTGAGTATCACGTGGTACACCCACGTAAAGTACCCACGGATTACGTGGGACTAAACCTCCCTACTGAAGTACAAGTAACGTCTTCTGCATAGCTATGGGACCGGCGCTGACTCTGCCGATCACGGGCGTTCTGGAGTCGACGGGATGTCTGTTCTGACGTTTCCTGGGACCGGCGGTCCGGCGCTGACTCTGCCGATCACGGGCGTTCTTCTTCTTATTATTATTATACTGACGGCAACTAACATCCATTCTGATTGCATTTACTCGTCTCCCTACTTCGTATTTTTTCAGAAAATCTCCCCATACAGCAGGGAGTCGTTTACATAATAATATTATGACTCCCTTCTATAGATCTACATGACTGTAGATCCGTAGATACGTTATAATTATTATGCTATCGGCCTACATGCGATTCCCGGGCTGGTCGACAGGCGGCCCAGCCAGCCTGCTAGTGGGATCTCGGCCTCGCACACAAATCCACACAAAATGTTACTGCACTGAATGCATTCCCCCGATACACTTCGAATATATACTCATTCTCTTGATGGTACCGTACTCTTGATGGTACGGGACAGGTACTAGGTACGGGAAAGCGCCAGGCATGTGGATGGCACAAACAAAAATATTGTGGCCAGCTGTCTTTGCTGGTACGGTACAGTACGGGACAGATACGGGATAGCGCCAGGCGTGACACAAACAAACAAACAAACACCAAATTAAAGCTGTGTGGACCCTGGCTAGCGCCAGACGTTACTGAAGTAACGTCTTCTGCATAGCTTTTTTTTTTTTTTTTTTTTTTTTTTTTTTTTACTACGTTCACATAACCAGCTCGAAAAGAATAAGGAAAGACAATGGTACGGAGACTAGGACAAACGTGACAACTAATGAGCAGGCGCTACACCGAGACGCAGCAGTGATGGTGGGGCATTGATGACTCTGCCGACCTGAGGTCTCGGCGTCGCGGCCAAAAACACGCACCAAAAACAATGAAAAAGAAGAAGATAGAGCTGTAC